TCCATCCTTAACCAGAAAACATGCCGTAGGCGGCCCAGGGCCCAGCACCCTGAGCTCTGCAGGCACGGAGCTCTGCCTCCCGGGCAGGAAGCAGGGGCAGCTCGAGGAGGGCAGCCAGGAGCCAGGCCTGGAGGCTGCCCCGGGAACCACCCGGCACAGGGTCTTGTTGGCTGCCCAAGCTCAGAGCCCCAACTCAACACCGGCCAGCAAGGGGCGTGAGACGAGGGCCCCTGGCTCCTCTGCCAGCTGGGGGTGCTGCCCGATAGGCCTAGGGCTGGACACCCTGTTGGGGGAAGGGGAGAAGGGGGAAGGGGGAAGGGGGGAAGGAAGGAAGAGGGGAAGGGGAAAGCAAGTGGCGGGCCCAGCTCACCTTCTTCATGGGAATGGGGGGCGGCTTGGTGCGCGATTTTTGGACCTGGGGGGCCGGGTTGCTCTGCTCGTCCCGCATGGCGAGGATGGAGGAGGAGTGGACCATGGTCAGGTGGGGGGTCAGCCCGCTGTGCAGGCAGCTGCAGATGTACTGAGATGGGACGGGGCAGAGTGAGCGGCCGGCGAGCAGTTCTAGCCATTCCCTGGACAACTGGCTACCCGGGACCTTCTCACGCCGACCACTGCCCATCCCAGCCCTTCCAGCCTCTCCCGCAGCCTCTTCCTGCGCCCGCCCACATCCCGAAGACAGAGCCTTCCTGTGTTCACAGGGAGGGTCAGCCCAGCAAGGGGACACTCTCGCTGTGACCCCCAAAGGCCTGGCTCATCCAGCTCAAAGAGGGCCCAGGAACCAGCTCCCCCACCCCCAGGCCTCTGCCCCGGCCTCTGTCCAGGCCTCTGCCCAGGCCTCTGCCCAGGCGCGGGACCGGGAGCCCAGGCCGCGGCTCACCTGGAACTGGCAGAGCGGGTAGCTGCCGTACAGGTACTCCTGCTTCCCGTTCACCTGCAGCGTGTAGTCCTCGGGCTGCTCCACCAGGGGCTGCCGGAACACCGTGGCCTTCTTCCGCAGGGCGCAGGCCATCAGCGCCAGGGGCACGTCCTTGGTGGACACCTGGAAGGTGAAGCTCTCCTAGGGGGAGGGGGAGGGGTCAGCCCTCCGCCCTGCGAAGGGACCACAGGGCCCTGGGGCACAGGAGTGGGGTTGCCGATCTGCCCTCCCCGCCCCTCAAATGTGAGCTCCACAGAGCAGGGTCTGATGGAGGCACAGGGCCAACTACCAGGAAACACGTGTTGAACGAATGGACAGACCAAGGACGAAGGCCATGTGGCCGTTCTGTCTTGTCGAACTGCCTGGGGGGATGTTCGGCCGAGCCCCGGGCATGCGTGGATACCCCACAAATACCCAGTATCTGACGCTACAGAGAGGAGAGAGAATCTGGGGGGCTGGGGAGGGGCTGGGGAGTCTCACAGGGACAGCGTCCCCCACGGACACAGCGGCCCGGATGCGGCACCAGCGGAGCCACCCCTCACCTCACTGCCCTCGAACTTGACGTTGACCAGGAGGGCCCGGTTGGGGACCCGCAGGGTGCCGGCGCCCCAGGTCCGCGCCGAGGGTTCCAGCTGCAGGGGGAAGCTGTACTGCAGCCAGGCCTCCCAGCCCAGCTGCTGCCGCCGGGCGGCCGCCTCCTCACAGAACTGGCGCATCTTGACTCGAAAGTCATTCTCCTCCGGGTCCCGCAAAGAATCAAACTCGTGCAGGCCTGAGGCAGGAGGGGAGCCGGGGTCAGCAGGGGTCCGGGGGCGGGGGCCGGGCCCTGGGGGCAGGCAGCCGGCAGCACGCGGCCCCCTGGCCCGGGTACCTTTGCCAATGAGGAGGCTGATCTGCGAGTTGATGAGCTTCTTGACCCGGTCGCCCTCGCGGGCCACTTAGGGGCAGGACGGGCAGGAAGGGCTGGATGTCGCACACCTTTCCGCTGCTCGTCCTCCAGCTCCTGCTGCTCCGCCGTCTGGTTGACGCAGGTGAACACGTAGGCCTCGGGGTCGCTGAGCATGTGGAAGAGCGGCTCATACTGGGCTCGGTGCCACAGCGCCTGGGAGGGACGGTCACCGGTCAGGGGTCAGCCCTCCGACCGAGGCGGGCGGGGCCCCAGGGTGGAGGCTGGTCTCAGCCTGGGTGTCCCTTGCAAGAAGGCAAGGGCGCCCGGCCGGCGTGGCTCAGTGGTTGAGCGTCGACCTGTGAACCAGGAGGTCACGGCTCGATTCCCGGTCAGGGCATGTGTGCGGGTTGCAGGCTCGATCCCCAGCAGGGAGCCTGCAGGAGGCAGCCAATCAATGATTCTTTCTCATCATTGATGTTTCTATCTCTCTCTCCCTCCTTTCCTCTCTGAAATCAATAAAAATATATTTTAAAATGAAAATTAAATAAAAAGACAATGGCAAGATCCCAAGACCGCCACCCTCTCCAGACGCCGGAGCACTGACCACGGGGTCACCGGGAGTCCCCGCCCCACTCCTCCGGGTGCTCTTACATCCCCCGGACATGACCTCCAGGCACCCCCAGTTAATCGTTCTGGGGCTCATCACCCCCCTTGTAAATGCTGGCAAACAATTCAGGAAAGCGTAAGGCACTGGGGCGGGGGGGCATGAACCCCTCTGTGGGCTGTGTGCCCTCCGGGCCAGGGGTCCCCAGGGATTGCTGGGGAGCCTTCTCACAGTCAGGATTAAGTACAAAGGTGTTCCCCACTGAGTCCCGGGAAGACGAAAAAGGAGAGACCAGCCTTAGTTTCCCCCATGAGGGATGGGTAATTGTGGCCATAAACCCAAAGGGACCACACAGGGACGGGACCCAGAATCCAGGGGTTCCTGGGCAACAGAGCACTCCAAGAGGCATCATTAAGAGGGAAAAACGGAAACTGTAGGTCAAGCAGATGTAATTCAAACCCCGTTCATAAAAATGACAATAAACATAGCGCCCTGGCAGGTGTGCTCTGGGTAGAGCATCGGTCCACGCACCGAAGGGTCGCAGGTTCGATTCCCGGGCAAGGGCACTACCTGGGTTGCAGGTTCGATCCCTATCCCTGGCCCCGGTCGGGCGGGTGCAGGAGGCAACAATTAATGTTTCTCTCTCTCTCTCCCCCTTCCTCCTTCCCACTTTCTCTTCTATGCTCTCTAAAAATCAATGGGAAAAATATCCTCGGGTGAGGAGTAACAAAAACTAAATAATAAACATATGATAACCCTTTGGCTGTGCCCTGGTTTCTTTTTTATATACAGTCCAGTATTGTTTGTTGTGATAAATTCTGATTAAAAACTTTTATATCCTTCCAGAGTTAAAATGTAACATCTTTTTCATTTTGTTAACTTTAGGTAAATATTACTTTAAGGTTAATCTTACTTTTTGCTTTCAGAGCGATACATGCATGTTAATTCAAATTCCAACGCTGTGACCATAAAACACGTGGGTCCCAGCAGTCTCACCTTACACCCCAATTCCACTGCCATTTCTTCATGTGGTTATTTATGCCACAGGCCAGACAGTAAATATTCTAGGCGCTGCTGGCGGCCATACAGTAATTGCTGCAACTACCAACTCTGCCTTGTAAGGCGAAGGCATCCCCGAACTATATGTAAATGAATGGGCGTGGCTGTCTTCCAGTAACCAGGTGGTTTGCAGAATCCTGATCTATATAATTCATATGTTTATTGTTTATTTTTTGTTACTCCTCACCAGAGGACTACACGCTGCAGGTGAACAGGAAGCAACGGTGCAATATTACTTTTGAAATAGAAAAAAAGAAATTTTATATTTAAAGAAATCTCCCAGGAAGGGAAGATTAAAAACAAAAAACATAAAAAAACACCTCAAGCCCTGGCTGGTTTGGCTCAGTGGACAGAGCGTCGGTCTGCGGACTCAGGGGTCCCAGGTTCGATTCCGGTCAAGGGCATGTACTTTGGTTGCGGGCACATCCCCAGTAGGGAGTGTGCAGGAGGCAGCTGATCGATGTTTCTCTCTCATCGATGTTTCTAACTCTCTATCCCTCTCCCTTCCTCTCTGTAAAAAATCAATAAAATATATATTTTTTTAAAAACACCTCAAGGATGGTCCATTGCACCATTGCTTCTCTCTTTTTTTTTCTGCTCCCAAGTATAGCTTTTAGAATCCTGAGCTAAGGTCTTGCCCTGTAGCATGACACATTACATTTCCCACTTTGTAAGTGGAACAAGCCAGTCACTACCAAATACCGTCCAGATGTCTAATGTTCTGACTCAGTCGTTTACCCTGAAAATTATTCAACAAAAAACCCCCAAAAATGATTTTCAAAGATGTGTTACTAGGACCACAGCCCTAAAGACAAAAGACCAGCAAACGCCTTACGTGGCCGTGGATGGAGCGTGGTTCCAGAAACACCAGCAAGGTCGTGAAGAGAATGAAGGGCCAGGTGGGAACACAGCCTGAGCTCTCACAGGCACCACGCAGGGGGCAGCTGAATTGGGAATGGTAGGCAGACGCTAACTGCAAGTTTCTAAACAATTCCTAGATGTTACTGACACCATTTACAATCCTATCCGAGGCTCTTAAACCTGAGAAATTGCGTGTGTGAGTGTGGGTGTCTGTCTTTCCGAGTTCCAAACGCTAAGGACTAGTTTCAAGGTCAAGCCCTAGCTGGTTTGCCTCAGTGGATAGAGCCTCGGCCCTTGGACTGAAGGGTCCTGGGTTCGATTCCCGTCAAGGACACGTACCTCGGTAGCAGGCTGGATCCCAGCGCCAGTAGGGGCATGTTCAGGAGGCAACTAGTCAATGTGAAGCATCGATGTTTCTCCCTCTCTCCCCCCCGCCCTTCCACTCTCTCTAAAAATCAATGGAAAAATATCCTCAGGTGAGGATGAACACACAAAACCAATAAATAAGGTCAAGATGGTACCTTCTTGATGGTGCTGAGGTTGGCATTGCGGGACACGGGGAAGTTCAGATAGACCCCCGTGGGCAGCAGGAAGTCCACCGCCACGCTCTGGTTCTCCTCGTTGGCCCAGAATTCCATGGGGCAGTCCACCCCCGGGGGCATCCTGTTCCTCACTTCTCGGACGCCAGCTGTCCTGAAAAGGAAGAGAAGGCAGGGTGAGCCCGCAGGCGCCGGGGGAGGCCTTCGAGAGGGCCCTTCGGAAAACAGGATTCAGGACCTTTGGCCGCGGGAGGCTCAGGACGGAGCCTGGGGCCTCGCCCCGCCCGGGGTGGCCCAGGCCACCTGCGGCCGAGCTGCCTCTCAGCACAAGCGGACACTCCGGCCACGTCCCTCTCAGCAGTGGCCCAAGTTCAAGACACCAACAGACCAGCTTCAAATCACTTTTTCTCAGGATCACACGCGGGGGAGACCGGCCACGGCCACCAACTGGCAAAGGAGCGAAGTGGCCGGCACCGAAGGCTACGGCTCTGAAACGCTCTAACCCGAAGCCAAGTGGCTTAGAACTGGCTGTGGGTCGTGAAACAATCTGTTGAAACATCTCAGTCATCCCAATGCCCTCAGTCACACCCGCTCCCCGGGAACGAAACGTTACAGGCTCCAGTGAAGGTCTCCGAGCGCCCCCAACGCCTCAGGCTGCCACCACTTGCATCCTGATTGATTATTAATACTGTCCGTGGATGTTTTTTTGTGTTTTTTTTGTGTGTGTGTTTTTCCGTGGATGTTTTTAGACTTGTATTATACTAATATGTATCCACAAACAATTCCTACTATTTTTGCATGCTTTAAAACTTGGCGGATACACGTAGCTCTAGTTCATGCTTTTTGACTCTTGTGGTGTTTGACTTTGTAAATAAACCACGTGTTATTTACCCCTTCTCTCATGGATGAACCTCAAGGCTTGGTTCTACTCTAGGTATTACAAAAGCAATGCTACAATGTATATTCTTTTTCTATTCTTTTTAAAGATATATTTTTATTGATTTCAGAGAGGAAGGGAGTGGGAGAGAGAGAGAGATAGATATATCAATGATGAGAGAGAATCATTGATCGGCTGCCTCCTGCACACCCCACACTGGGGATTGAGCCTGCAACCCGGGCCTGTGCCCTGACCCGCAATCGAGCCATGACCTCCTGGTTCATAGGTCACCGCTCAGCAGCCAAGCCGGGGGAGGCTACAATGTATATTCTTGCTCGCATCTCCTTGTGTGCATGTCAGAGTCCCGATGAGTGTTGTCCAAGAGAAATATAAAGTGAGAAACATGTGTTGTCAAAGTTACCAGTAGCCACATTTTAAGAAGTAATTAAAAGACAGATAAAATTAAATTGAGTAATATATTTTACTTGATCCAGTATATCCAAAATATGGTCATGTTGATGATATCAAGATAGAAAAATTACTAAGCAGATATTTTACTTTTTTCCCCTCTTATTTTGAAATCTGTTGTGTGATCTATACTTGCTGTGCACACTACAATTCAGACAATAGATTTTCATCAGAAATCTTCATCTCGCCCGGCAGGTTTGGCTCAGTGGATAGAGTGTCCGCCTGCGGACTGAAGGGTCCCGGGTTCGATTCCGGTCAAGGGCACGTACCTTGGTTGCAGGCTCCTCCCCAGCCAGGTCTCTGGTCGGGGTGCGTGCAGGAGGCAACCAATCGATGTGTTTCTCTCACATCGACATTGCTCTCTGTCTCTCCTCTCTCTTCTACTCGCCCTAAAAACCAATGAAAAAATATCCTCGGGTGAGGATTCACACACACAAAAAAAAGAAATATTCCTTTCTAAGTGGATTTCGTACAATCGGCAGGTGAAAAAGTCAGCTCACAGACTCAAATTGTTCTAAAGATACTTTAGAAAGTTTTCAAATAAAGGAATTCAAGTACCGATTCTTACATTTAAATGAATTAAAATTAAATAAAATGCTTAAAAACCCCCTCCCTCAGTCATTCTTTCAGAGTTCAGCGTGGCTGGCTGGTGGCCACACCGGGCAGCGCAGCCCGGGGCACACGCGCCGAGCGGCATTGCCCGGTCACAGGCCCCACCTGTGGCGGGTACAACCACGTCATTAACGTCACCAAAGTGAAGAGGTGACGTCCATTAGCAAGAGCAACACGCTTTCCCTCCCTCACCGACACTCGGTATTGTCGAACTTGCTCACTCCTGCCAACCGGCGAGGCCTCAGATGCTCCCGTCATTATAATTTGCATCTCCCTGACTTTCCATAAAAGGTTTATCTTCTCCAAGGAGCCTGCTTACAATCGTGGCCCCTGTGTCTGTGGAGTTATTTGTCCTTTTCTTATGAGCTTGTGGAGTTTCTCTAGATTGAAGTCTTTTGTTGATTAAATGAGTTGGAAATATCTCCGAGTCACCTTTGTATTTTGTTTAGAGAGGGGTTTTTTCTTTTGATAAGTATTTCTTAATGTGGATGCAGACAATTTTTCAACCTTTCCCTTTCTGTTTTATGATTTTTATTCTTTAGAAGAATACTTCCCTAACCTAAAGTCACATCCTTTGAGATTTAAATGACTTGTAAAAACCGTTGAAAGGAACCCTAGCGGGTTTGGCTCAAGTGGATAGAGCATCAGCCTGTGGACTGAAGGGTCCCGGGTTCGATTCCGGTCAAGGGCATGCACCTCGGCTGCAGGCTCATCCCTGGCCCAGGTTGGGGCACATGTGGGAGGCAACCCATTGATGTGTCTCTCTCACATCGATGCTTCTCTCTCTGTCTCTCCCCCTCCCTTCGACTCTCTCTTAAAAAAAAAAAAAGTTGAAAGGAAATGTTTAGTGGGAGACAGACATTCTGGAGGCTCTGCCAGAGGGGCCCAGGCCCTGCCCTTGGTGGGACGCAGACCTGCTCTGAGCAGCTCCATCTGCACATCGCCCTCCGCTGCCACGACACAACCTGCCGAGATCCCCGGCCTCTGATCGTAAAACCACATCCTACTCTGGGTTCCTCTTTCTGAGAATGGCCAGGCCAAAGGCTTTCTTTTCTTTTTTTTAAGAAAGAACCTATTGATTTCTTAGAGAGGGAGAGAGAGAGAGGAACATTGATGGAAGAGGGAAATATCAATCAGCAGCTCCCTACAAGCCCCCACTGGGGATGCAGCCTGAAGCCCGGGCATGTTCCCTGACCAGGAATCCAACCGGCAACCCTTCAGTGCATGAGGCGATGCCCAACCAACTGAGCCACACGGGCCAGGGCATGCTTTCCTTTTGATTCAAAATGCTGGGGCTCGTCAGGAATGCCGGAGAACCCGCTTACAATGCTCCATGGGCAAGTCAGGAGCCCCTCCGGCCATTCATTCCTGAAGCTATGACCAAAGGGACGGACGGGGCCCCGAGACAAAGGCACCCCCAGTCCCCTGCCTCTTCCCACATGGAAACGAAGCTTTCCACTACACTCACCCAGCGGGAACACAGGGAAGTTCTCTGACGTAAAAACTCATTCCTGCCCTGGCCTGGTGGCTCAGTTGGTTGGAGTGTCGAAAGGTTGTGGGTTCGATTCCCAGTCAGGGCACATACCTAGGTTGCGGGTTTGATCCCTGGTTGGGGCCTGTACAGAGGCAACTGATCAATGTTTCTCTCTCTCATCAATGATTCTCTCTCTCTCTCTCTCTCTCTCTCTCTCTCTCTCTCAGCTTTATTCTCTCTAAAATAAATAAAAGCATATCACTGGGTGAGAATTCAAAACAACAACAAAAACCTCATTCCTACCAGGAGACTCGGGGTGGTGAGGGCAGCACGTGATCCAATGCCCGACACCGGGCAGGGGCAGGAGAAAGTGGGGACTCTGGACCCAGGACCCCGGGTGCAGCTGCCGATGAGCCCAACCGTCGGAAGCCGACGCCCGCTCTGCAGATGGCATGGGGCACAGACGCCAGCGGAGGCCGGGGCTGCAGAACCGCCCAAGAGTGCACACTGGCACAGCCACTTCGGCCAACTGACAGCATCCACGATGCCCTCGGACCCAGCGGTTCCACTCCTGGGCAAGCACCTGACAGAAAGGCCAGCTTCGAGCCGAAGCGGAGTGAGTCCGAGAGCGCCTGCAGCAGCGCTCTCCCTGACAGCCCCGACCTGGGAAGTGCCCGAAGGCGCAGCAGCAGGGAGTGGAGAAATAAACTGTATCCGCTCCCACCGGGATGTGACGGAGCAGTGAGCGTGGTCTCCAAACACACACAATATAAATGCGTCGCACAAGCATGAAGCTGAATGAAAGAAGTCAGGCCCAGAGGAGTACGTGCTCACAGAGAGCAGGCACGGGCAGACTACCCTCTGTTGGCAGAGAAGATGGGGTCACCCCTAGGGGAGAGCAGTTACCCCGGGGGGCAGGGGAGTGAGGGCGTCTGGGTGCTGGGAATTTGGGGGGTTTCTTGATCTGAAAGCTGGGGACTTTTCACAGACTCAACACATCCTCAGTCCAAGGGGTTCAGATGGGCTGACTTCACTCCTGGCCCGAGACCCAGGCCCAGCCCATTGGAGCCCCGAATTCCACCACTACCACCACCACCACCACCACCCCAGCCCCGGTCATGAGGAGTGGAAGCCAGAATGAGACTTAGGCCCGCCAATCACTGCACATCATCTTCACAGTGATTCCAGGATGTGCATGGGATTATCAAATCCGTGCAATGGGTTTTGACCTCTGGATTTCTTTGGGGACTTCCTCCTGGGGTAGCAGAAAAACACAGAATATGTACCTAAAGCTGCTGGTGACCATCTGCTGCCCTTAAGGGGCGGAACCTGAGGAGAGGCCAACGTGGAAAGCAGAGCTCAGGGTGGAGAGTCCATGCGGGGGCCCAAGGACAGCCTCTGATTTCCTGGATCCAGCCATGCCTGAAGCAGGCTCTATCCCTGCACTTTTCAGTTCTATCAGCCAAGGGTCCCGGTTTTGATTCTGGTCAAGGGCACATGCCTGGGTTGCAGGCTCGATCCCCAGTAGGGGGTGTGCAGGAGGCAGCCAATCAATGATTCTCTCTCATCACTGATGTTTCTATCTCCCTCTCCCTTCTTCTCTGAAATCAATTAAAAAAAAGTACATATATATTTTTAAAAAGAAACACTTAGGAGCTGGGTGGGTCAGATGGGGGACAGTGAGGGAGGAGGGAGGATGACAGCCAGGTTCGGGCTTGGGAGA